GTGTCCTAACCTATGAAAGTTTAACTATTGTTTTCACTGGGAACAGGAGAGTGCTTGGAGGCTGACTGGGCATGACCTATAGGCAGAATGTAGCTCTCTGGCCCAAAGCCAACTGTACACTACAAACCTTTGCCAGCCTGGGCCGAAGAGGTGTGATCTGTGACCGACACATAGATGAAGTTATACTGGCCAAAGTGCACTTTTACCAGCGTAGTTTATTTGACTTTGGGGGGGGGAGGGGAGGAGGCTGGCTGGCTGTAATAAGCTATGCCAGCAAAAGCACAGTTTGGGCCAGTATAAGCTGCATCCATAGAATCATAGGGTTGGAAGGGACCTCAGGAGGCATCTAGTCCAATCCCCTGCTCAAAGCAGGACCAATCCCCAGACAGATTTTTATCCCGGTTCCCTAAATGGCCCCCTTAAGGATTGAACTCACAAACCTAGGTTTAGCAGGCCAATGCTCAAACCACTGAGCTATCCCTCCCTCCCCCCAAAAAATAAATTAATGGAGATATCCTATCTCCTAGAACTGGAAGGGACTTTGAAAAGTCATCAAGTCCAGCCCCTTGCCTTCACTAGCAGGACCAAGTACTGATTTTGCCCCAGCTCCCTAAGTGGCCCCCTCAAGAAAGGTCGATTTCTACCCGCCGATTCAGGTGGGTAGTGTAGACCTAGCCTATGTCTCGCTCTAGTTCCCCCATTTGGATGTATGTATTTGGTAAGGTGCACAGATACTATGATGGTGAGTTTCCTTGTACTTTACCATGACTTGCATTGCAAAAAAAGTTCTGTTACTAGAATTAGTCTTTTCTAATAAGTTTAGGTTAAATACAAAACAAATTATGTGTAATAAGAATATAAGCGTGGTCTTGGAAAGAAAGCAGTCTTCGTCTAAAAAGGAAAGCAAGTTTTCTTCCTAATTATTCAGGGTGTTTTGTGTGTTGCTGGAATATGTATTGGTAAACATGAACTGACACATTTCTAGCAACCAAATTATAAATGAGTGGGAGACCTAAAAATGTCAGTTTCTTCCTTAGAAGCACTTCAGTTTTTTTCCTCCTCTTATTCCCTCCTTTATTTTGTCTCTCATTCCTTTATCTTGTATACTTCTTTATTCCCTTAGGCAAACGAGTGTCTTTACTGTTTGTCTCTTTGCTTCAATATTTTACTTATCTCAGTGTATCTTTTTGATACAAATCTTCAAGGTATATCTATATACGTGTATTCTCTCTCTCACACACACACACACACACACACACACACACACACACACACACACACACACACACACACACACACACACACATATATATATATATATATATATATATAATAAAAAACCAAGCATAAAGGCATTAAGGTTCGGGTTATTTTTTTATATATATATACACACACACACACTATATCTTTGTATTGTGTATATATAAAATACAAAGATATATATTATATAGCGTGTGTGTGTGTATGTATGTGTGTATATATAGTATGTGTGTGTATATATATATATATATAGTATGTGTGTGTATATATATATATATATATATAGTATGTGTGTGTATATATATAAAAACCCGAACCATAATGCTTGGTTTTTGGAATAATCTAGAAAGTGCTCTTTTCAAATTTAGTATAGACTAAATCAATCTCTTAATAAATCCTAAGTATTAAAACAAAATACGTCCACCCTAAACTGCAGAAACCATTTCAGATGATATTCAGTGGACAACATATGTCCATTTAAAGCACAGAATGAGATAACTTTCTCAATGAAATGCACTGATTATGAAGTTGTTAATATTGTTGCAGTCACATCCTCTGCCCTTGATGCCAGTGGATACTCTGAGAATGGATCAAAAGACACATGTGCCTTAAATTTAATCTCCAAAAGCTCTCTGATGTAAATGACACTGGGATTTTAAAACTGGAAAAACAAAAGAGGTTATTCAGTGATATTTTGTATTCTTGAACATGCTGTCTTATAAATAGCTTAGGATATTGTAAGATCACAGTATTCACCTATTGTCCCATTTTTATTTACCAGAAGATAAACCGAAAACAACGAAAAGTCTTGTATACCTCACTTATATGTACCTGCGTTGTACTCTGGGACCCCCTCCCCCCCAAGTGTTTAAACTTGGCCAACTGGATTTCTCTCCCCCCACCCCCAATTTTGGTCTCTGAAAGTTAGCCTAGAAGAGTATGGAAGCAGTGCTTCAGTTAAGAGTTATTTTTTATGGCTGAAATATGGATTTCTCTAAATAGAGGTTTGTAATGAAAATCCTAATAGAAATTTTCCATTACACTAAGGTGCTAACTAATAATGACACCACATTGTGGCCCTGATTCAAACAAGCATCTCTTTTCAGGTCACCACTTTAAGAACGTGCTTAAGTCCCATTGAAGTCAGTGGATTTAAGCACACGTTTAAGTACTTTCTTGAATCTGTGCCTCTATCATCTGTCATTTTAAAATCTGTTTGATACTTTTATCCTATCGTCAAAGCAATATTTGTACTGAAAAACAGTGTCAGCCATCTTTTAAGTATAAACTGTAATATCTTTTGTTTTACAGCTGATTGCCGTGTACGATGAACAAGAATTGCACAATAAGATTGACAGCATCAGTGGCAGTTTGACAGACAGACCCAGCCCAGAACCTTTTGAGATGGAGATGGCTGCCCAGCTGGCTGCCTTTCAGCCAATTGGTGGTGAGATTGAGGTGACTCCTTCTGCACTGAAATTGGGTACGTGCGCGTTGTCTTCCAATTTTAAAAATGATTACTGGTCATCATCTAGGAGGGTTGTGTGCCTTAGCCTCTCTACATTGCTGGTCTCTTGCCTCTTTATTTTCATCCTTCCTGTTGGTGTGTGTTTGTTGCATCTGTCTTCACTGGTGATAATGCGGTGGTGAGGCCACACAGAATTGTTCAGAAACAGATTGAAGGTGACTCCCATTCTGGTGTGCCCTCAAAGCAGCAGCACTGCCTGACAGATATCCAGAAAATTAATGACACTAAGGGATGTTTTCCTGTTTTCTACGAGATCTCTCTTCAAAATTTTAATAGTGATCTCCCTAATAAACCAAGTATGTGGCTTAGAACACAAAACGTAAGAAGTAAGGCTACTACCCTGCCTTACTTTACCCTAAAGTGACTATGTATTATAGGGGTCTCTGAACAGTGTGTGATAAAATTCCTGAGCACATGTGGGTGGGTTAAGGATAGAATTTCAGTCTTGGGTCTGAAATGTTTGTGCCTTTGTTGGTTTAAAGTTAGACCACTTATGACTTTTGAAATTGAATGTTTTAATTTCATTTTTTTTAAAGGAAAAGACTGATAAAAAGAACATTCCACCAACATTTTATTGAAAAGGAAGTTAATGCTGTGAACAGAACCTTTACTGTTCTAGTTTGTGCCTGTCAGGGAAAGCATTCAATTTAACTGAAGTCAATGAAACCTTCCAGACTAAGGTTTACATTATAATAGGTCATTCAGAGTGTTTGTAATTTCAACCTTCTGCAGGATTTCTTCGGGCCTGTAGTCTTGGGAAATGATGTATTCTTGCTGTAACTTCCATATATTTCAGAATGTTATGAACTGTATTCTTGATATGTATGGAAAGGCTTCATCTATCTGAAGGACCTCTAATTGAATGAGTTAACATTCTGTGTTACACACACAAGATCTTGCATGAAATGTAAAAGATATCTTAACGTGTTTTGAAAAATAAATACTGTTCAGATAATCCCCCTGAAGCATATTTTAATGGACCAGTACACATGCCCTGTCTTAGCTCAATACTGTATTCACATCTTGGGAGAGGGAAGGAATTATATTTCATATTTTAGCCTCCATGCAAACTTATGTAAAGCAACTAAATTGAATTTTTGTTCAGAATGCCAATGCCAATAGACCTTTAATTTTAGCAGTGCTGGAGGTCACCACTATGTCATTTACCAGACGGTTTCATTTTCATAACAGAAATGATGCTAGGATGTTCTGGAGTATTAAGGAGAATGAAGATAGTGTAAAAAGATCAGCCAATTATGGTCCCAGTTAATTTCCAATCTATACACATGTTTCTCTGGAAATAAAAGTAAATGTCTCCTCTAAAAAGGGACTATGTAAAAATGAGGATGTTGGGCTTCCATATTTGTCTCAATGATTGCATTTCAAATTGGTTTCATTTAAATGAAGGGTTTTCTGACTGTCTGCCCTACAAACTCAATATGAGTTCTGAAAGTCCACCTGTTTTCTTTCTGGCTATTACATCTCATTGATGACAAAAATTCTGCAAAGCTAATTTTGCCCTTATTGTCGTCTATGCAAGTCTATTGTCTTTTGTCCTCAGTTATACTAGATCCAAATGCAAACTGAATTAAAAATGCAAATAAAACATAGTTATCAATACTATTGAGGTATGAGCTAGATTAGAATATGGTGCATCCTCTTGATTCTGCATTGGCTACCAGCAGCAAAAAGTAGTAAAGTGTTTTCACTGAAGAAAGATATGACTGTGAATATACATAGTGAGCAAATCCCTGGAGTAAGAAGATAACCATTTTTATGTAGTCACTTTTCAGGATAGGCGTGTACTTTAAGCATGTGCCAGAGTTCTCAGACTTTTAAAGAGTCTCTAAATGTACAAAAGATCTCTGAATTTACTTAAATAGGGATTATATCTATGTGGTTCAAATGGACAAAATATATAGTTATACACCTCTACCTCGATATAACGCTGTCCTCGGGAGCCAAAAAATCTTGCCGCGTTATAGGTGAAACCGCGTTATATTGAACTTGCTTTGATCCACCGGAGTGCGCAGCCCCGCCCCCCCGGAGCACTGCTTTACCGCGTTTTATCTGAATTTGTGTTATATCGGGTCATGTTATATAGGGGTAGCGGTGTAGTCTGCTTTTAATATTCATTGAAGAATCTATACTTTAGAAGTCTGGGTCCACCATATTGTCCATATGATGGACAAGGTTTTAATGATGTCCCCAGAAGAATACCTAGAATTTGGGGCTGAGTAAACAGAAGATTACTAAACTATTTCTTTTACAACCATGAGGGAATCCATATAAAATTTAAGAAACTATATCGTAAGTGTTGGCTAATCAGTCTTTATTTATAATAGATATGTTACTAGATAGCTCTTTTGTTATTTTTTCCTCTTTACTTTGTCTTAGAATTACTTATTTCATATCCTTTGTGATCAGTGCTTTCCAGATAGTAACCAGTCCTACTAAGACTACGATTTTAGTTTTCCCTTTACCAAGTTAGTTATTCTTGGTTTTCTGTTAGCAAATCACTTGAACTTTGAAAATGATCCAATTCTTATTTCAAAAACAACCCTTTTTGACTTTAAAGCTAAAAGTATGCCAGATGCTATATTGTTTCCATATGTGTGTTAACAAAAATTTTTCAAAAAAGTATATGAACCTTGGTTTTTATCTAATTGTTTTCATAATATTTAGCATTTATCTCTTTTCAGAAGTTTACAGATAATTATATAACTTGATTATTGTCAAATTTTATATAGTTTTCTGTTAAGTTAAATCAAAATTATTGCATGGAGAAACACATGGAAGTATTTGCATGCACTGTTATAGAAAGCTAAAACCCTCTTCTGGTGTTGCCTTTAAGAAAATGAAGGGAAATGTGATGCCTTTAATTAGGCCGCAGTGTCTAAGTATCTGCCATGCCCATAATATGAGGTTAAATATTGGCATCTGATCCTAGACAAACATACTTGCACCACACGCACAGCAGAACTGAAGCAGGGTATCTGGTATTGCTGCTGACAGTGTCTGAATTCAGACTACAAAGCAAGTAAGTATGTAATGGTTTCTTATTGCTAGAAGGGCTTTGCTAAAGTCTTTGGAATTGAGGAATGAAATTTACTGCAGGAACTGGAGTTGTTTGCTTCAGTTAGCTCCATAAGTCACAATTTGGTCATGGGCTTTAATCTTACCGGTTTCTTGTTAGGCCTGATTACCAAACAATTAACACTGAGGAGAAGGCCTTTTTCTTAGTCTAATGTCTTATCTATGCAATAGAGGAATGATCTAGTAATTAGCTATGGTAACTTTCTACTTTTCATTCAGGTACAGATATATAGATATATGAAGATCTTGCATACTTTCACATGACCAATTTCCTTGTTTCTTCAAGAAGAGTAGCAATGTTATTTTCATTCTGTTGGGCGGGAAGAGGACAGTAACAGAAAAGTTGGGTGGGACTGAGTTCATTCTCCCTATTTCTTGCCTTTCTTTGTTTTGTGAAATGGAAAGCACTCCAGTATACTGTGTACACTACAGGGCACTTGCCCCTTCAATTCATAACTCAGATATACTTCATGAGACTGTCAAGGCTGCCAAGAATCACTGGCTACACTGAGTTGCCCTAAAACAAAACCTGCCTTTTTAAACTCATATTGAAAATATTAATTGCAAAGGTAATGTCAAAAGTTAAGTAAATTTAAATCAGATTTTCAGATATAAGTTTCATACCCATTTTTCAGTAATTATTCAGGGAGTGGGAGAGTGAAGAATTTTATCTCCTCCTCCTCCTCCCTCCCCCACAAACTCACTTCCTCACCCCTCTTCAGGGACCACTGTCCTGAGGAAATCCTCCATCAGGAGGTGGACTCTTTCCTCTAGTGAGGGCTATAGAGCAGAGGTCCCCAAACTGTTGGGTGCGGAGGGACATTTTGGGGGGCCCAGTTGCCTGGTCCAGCCCCCACGGGGGGTGGGGAAGATGCGCCACCCAGTTCCCTCCTGACCCTGGCTCCAGCTGCCCACCCTGCCCCCAGCTGTGGCCCCAGCCTTGGCTTCCCTTACTCCTGTCCACATCTCCCTGCTCCAGCTGAGCGGGGGCTGTGGACAGGAACAAAGGACGGGGTGTGACCCTAAAACATTTGGGGACCACTGCTCTATAGCAAGTGCAACCTCAGCATCAAGGGAATAGGGGGTTTTCTCCCCATATTTCATAGCTTTGAAGAGAAGAGGAGAATGGAGACCCATTCTTCATCTACACCAGCTGAATCTTTATTCACAAATCTAAATTTCACTTGGTAACATGGGCATCAATAATTTCCACCCTGGAGAAGGACAGATGGTTCGCGACTCTTGACACGAAAGTTGCTTACTTTCATGTGCATGTTTATCCATCCCGCAGAATGTTCATCAGATTCATAGTGTACTAGTGTACTTCTAGAGTACTTCTTGTTCAAGCTGGCAACAGCACCCAGGGTCTTCAGGAAGGTTCTCTCAGTGATGGTGGCCCAGATGAGACAAAAGGGCTTGACTGTCCTCCCATAACTTGGACGATTGTCTCCTAAAGGGCAGATCCAACCAAGAAGTTCAGTCAGCAAAACTATCCTTGCTCCATCTTCCGTCATCATTGGGAATCTGTGTAAACTGGAAAAAAGTCTCCTTTGACTCCCACAAATATTGTAGACTGTATAGGATGAGCCCTAGACTCAACTTCAGCAAAGGTCTACCTCCCCATGAACAGATTCCAGGCCATGAGCAGCCTGATTAAACAAGTCATCCTCTGACCTCCAATCACAGTCAAGATCTCCTTCTCCTCTTTTAGGTCACGTGTCCTCATGTACTTGCATAACACTGTTCAGCAGGCTTCACCTCCATTGCTTACAGGCCTGGTTCTAGTCTGTTTACTCTACAGATAGAGACAACATGAATACCAAGGTAACAACTCCTGCCAAGGTCATGGCTTCTCTTGT